AAAAAAAATTCAATAAAAGCTGATATGTGCTTTATTCATGAATAAAGGAATGTACATTCACACAAACACTGAAGAATACTCATAGAAGCTTTTAACAGTGAATGGATAAGTGGAATGAACTGATATGTGCCTCAACATGGATAAGTCTCATAATAATTATACTTAGTGAAGGGAACCACATAAGAATGAGTGTGATTACATGTATTTAAAATTGTGGACAATGCAAACTATATTGACAGAAAACAGATCAGCAATGACGTGGAGATGTGGGAGAGATGAGAGAGAGGAATTACAAAGGGACATGATGAAATTTTAGGAGTGATAGATTATTTTCATTATTTTGATCATGGCAATAACGACTTCAGGGCTGTAAACACACATAAAATTTAGCAAATTGTACATTTTACGTATGTGCAGTTTATTATACAATTCTTGTATATCAATAAAGCTTTAAAAATAAAATTTAATTCTCTGAGGCCTGGGGGTGTAGCTCAATGGTAGAGTGCATGCTTACCATGCACAAGGCCCTGAGCTCCATCCCGAGAACCACTCCCCAAATGAGATTCTTTGATAAGTTAATTCATCATCTCTAAATGTTTCAGCATGTACTTTCCAAAGCATCCTAAATAATATACATGGCACCCTCTACAACAAAAGATAAACCACATAGCAAAACATCAGCAATATTATCTGGGGAAACTAGAGTTTTTACCTGTAGGTTCCTCTTCAGTGACAATGATCTGTCCAGTCCAGGGTGCCGAAGGGCGACCTGAACAGAGACAAATTTAAAAATCACAAACATTCGCAAGTGTGGTTTTAACTGTTCTGATAAACTGGCCAGATTAGTCACAAATGGGTTTATTCCCAGTTCACTTAGGCATTTTCCTTATGCATCATTATCAGACGTGTATATGTACTGTGGGGTACATGGCATCTGTCTTCACGGGGCTCACAATCTATCAGAGCTTAGAATCTGCCTGTATTGCTTGAATCAACTTTTTTGGAATTCTACTTCACAAGCTAGGTAAGTAATGTGTGCTCATGTAATGTGCAATGCAGATCTTCTGAACAAGTAGACCTTCTCATCTTTTACTAAGAAATAGCATGTGTTTGGGAGAAACATTTCCAGAACAATTGTAGTCACAACGAAGATTGAAAGAGGAGAGGGAATGCCAATCAGGTGCTAAGGTTCAGTGACAGCAATTTAAATCAGCTCAGATCAAGGGTAAGGAAAATGGAATAGATGGGAACAGAGTTAAAGAAGAAATTCATTCTGCAATCCCATAAACATTAGAAAGAGAATAGGTCAACTCCTGCTTTCAATCAAGGGGCTTTTTACCAGTTGTACAACAGGAGAAAGGTGGTAAAGAAAATTACTTATTCTCAATTTAAACAAATCTTATTTTGGTGGAATTTTTAAAAAAGGAATAAAGGAAAGTATGAGATGGAATTTGCAAATTTAGGAAGGAGGGAGAGAAGTTGGATGGTTGGTGAAAGAGGACTGGAGAACAATCAAGGAATCTGATTAGACACAGGTACAAAGAAAAGGTGACATTATTTTACTTAGATTTTTGCGATGCCACCGTGCCTAATTAAGATTTTGCCTCCAACGTATATTTGGCAGTGTCTGGAGACATTTTTGTTCATCACAACTGGGAAATGATGTTACTGGTATCAAAGTTGGTAGAGGAAGATATATTGTTAGGCAGCCTACATTCATGACACCTAAACAAAGAATTACTAGCCTAAAATGTCAATAGGGCCAAGGCTGAGATGTCTGGTATAGATAGAAATGTTACTATCCAACAATTCCTATAATGCCATTGCATGGTCCCTATTATTGTGGATGGCATGTGAATTCCCATGAACCCAACGGAGGATATAATTCATGTACTATGATTTTGACATTAAGAGGTTAAACAGATGAAAAGATTATTTTATACTGTTTAATATGGAAATCCAAATTTAGATCTGATATAAATAATGTAAATATGTTTTTCTGAAAATAAAGAGAAAAATCATAGTGTTGATGTACTACTGCTTTAGGAGAGGATTGTGAGGTTAAGAATTTCAATTATATTTTGAATGCACTAATAACATGAATAAAAATGTTCTCCAGGCTATTTGTTTTCAGATTTTATTCCACACATATTGCCTGAAATACAGATTAACAAGGCAAACTTGTTAATATAAAACTTGTTCAAATATAAAACTAAAATAAATTAAGATAAAATAAAGCCCTTAAGAGAATGGATGAGTCAAAAACAACAACAACAACAAAAAACCCCTCACGCTTTTTGTTTTAGGGATTCTCCCTCCCCACCTCCCCTTCTTCAGGATCTTCTGATCAAAAAAGGATTTCTTATTCCTATCTCCCTCTAGTGGAAGGGAGGGGAGTAACCTTGTAATGAAGCCTATTGCAGTTATTTTTTAAAGGTTTAGGAAGATACTGATAAATGAAAAGTGCTTACTTTTAAGTCTAGCTTTCTCAGCTGGATCCAGAGCAGCCACAGGCTCAGAAACTCGAGATGGTAGGCCTATTCCAGTTTTATTCACAGCTCGGACTCGGAATATGTAGGAACGACCTTCTATCAACCCAGTGACTGGAAATCGAGCAAACTTCACAGGTGTGTCGTTACATTGTGACCAGCAATCTGTGCCTACCTCACACCTATGGGAAAGAGTGAGAGTAACAAAAATATGACACAAAGTATGGCTAAACTGATAGCTCCAAAGCACAAACCCACCCAGTGGCTTCATATCTTCCCTGTGTTAATATGTAACTCTGACATGGCTTGCTAGTTATTTAGGCTGCAGACACACAATTCCACTCAAATGCAATGTACCTGAAGCATTGCTTTAAAAAAGTTAAATGATAACTAGCACTGCAGTTTGGAAAATAGCTTACCATATTTTCTTTCTTGATGGTCACTACATCCTGAGAGGTTGGGAGGTTAGGAGGTTATTGTAATATGTTTGTTTATTTAAGAGATGAGATTGAGAGAAGCAGGGGAAAATTAAGTATTTGTAAACTGGTTTTTTAATTGAGTGCTTTTACAGCAGTTGGTACCCAGCAATGGAGGGAGGGGCACTCCTCAGAAAGGAATGCGAGTGTTCATTTCATGCTATTGACCTGATCAATGGAGTTTTGGAGACTCAGTATGTGGTTGAATTATACAGCATTAGATAGGATTAAGCAACTCCTTGTTTTTTACAAGCTAGAACATGGCACTTTTATTTCTATCACTTCCCCAGTGTGGCTCTATGCCAAAAATGTATCAACTTTCAAATGATTTCTTTGGAGGTGGGAGTGTCAGAGGCAGTATAAAGTAATGCGGGGGAGTATCTTCCCTTCCTCTTCAGCACTTTCCATTCTTTGACATGGACAGTGAACATTGTCTTCAACATTACATCAAGTGCTATCAAATGTAGCTTCATCCATTTCACCTAGATCTTTTCCTTTACAGAAGTTCTCAAGCTGCAGTGGGTAGGACTTGGCAGGAACCTGACCGGGCTAGGACCATTCTTTAAGCCACCCATGAATCCAGAGATTCTGCCAGGACTCTCCGTCTTCCCTGTGCAGACACTGCCATGGTGGCCTAGTGATATCAGAACGTTTACTAACCCTCATGTGCGCAGAAAGAAAGGTGGAGAGCAGTTGCTCTAGAAAATTCTACAGCAGATTGGAACAGAAAGCACCACTTTACAGCCGGGCAATGTTTGAATCCCAGTTCTGCAGTTTACTACCTGAGTGACCTTAGGTGAACTAGTGTTTCCTCACTGGCATGATCTCTAGGATGGTTATGGGTTAGTGGTAAATATATGAAAAGTGTTTAGAGCAGTGCCATGCATGTAGAAAATGCTTGATAAATATTAGCCACAAGGTAGTTACTTTTATGACTAAGGCAAGAGCAGAGCAAAATTGATTGTCCTTAGCCTTTCACTGATTAAATTTCACGAAAATTTGTCAGACAATAAAACAGAAACTGCAAGTAAGAATCTTTGTAAACCTTCGCAATTTATCATTAGTAAACGAGGCCTCCATATTAGTTCACGTGTATGGTTAAACAGTATATAATTTACTATAAATATTTCTCTGGAGGGTATTGAGATCAATGGGTATACATTGTTATAAGTATAAGGTTTAAAACAGTGACAAGTGACACAGATTATCTGTCCCTCATGGTTTCCACAATAAAAATGACAAGAGAACTGAAGCAACTATTTCAATAGGAACAATGTATTTAGGCCAGCAATCTAAATTTATTGTCTGTATTGCTCAAACTCGCTGGAGAATTAATGTATAAAACCTAATTATTATAAATATCAGAGCCTTTATGTTTTGGAGAATGTAAACAGCAAGGACTCATATAAGTATATATAAAATTTAATACTATGGAATTTTGTCATTATTTCTCATATAATTTGAATAACTTAAAAACACATCTCATGATGCAAATAAGAATTCACTTGTATTCTTAAAGCCAATATTCTTAAATTACTGATATACTAGGAATATGAATATTAAATATATTGGGTATCAGCTATTTCATTTCTAAAGTGGCTTCTATTAGATCTACAAACTCATGACATTCTTGCCAAATTAGTGACTTGTGTTGGTAGTCAAATTCAAAGAATTTATGTTTGGAATTTAGTGAGATAGATATAGATATGAGTGCACGTATTATTTATATATGTGTGTATGTATGTATATATATATATACAGATGCATATATGTGTGTATACAGAGAGAGAGAAAGAGACAAAGAGAGGAAGACAATGAGAAATAAGAGAGAAAGAGAGGAGAGGAAAACCAGAACAGAAAGTATTTCACTTAGAAATGATGGGAGAAATCAAGCATGCATCTCTCTGGCCAAAGAAATCTAACTGAAGTTAGGAAACACTAACTTATCAATAAAATATCCCAGGATAGGGCTCCCTCCATCTACAGCTGGCTGCTTCCAAGAGATGATGATATAATCTTTGTTGGCATCCAAGCACACCACATCCAAGGGTGCAGCTGGGGCTCCTTCAATCTCTGCATCAGCATCTGTGGAGACAGAGGGATCCTGTTAACCCTCTCAGTTGTGCTCTGCCAGCTTGGCAGGTATAGGTCATGGTGCATACATTTCTTACTATGCCACCACAGTGGCTATGTCTTTGGCCCCAATATAGCAAGCTTCAAATCTTGTAATTTGTTCACCAACATAACAAGATGTGCTTTATACCTTCAGAAGGAAGAACATTATGTTAGAAAATAGAAAGGGCTCTAAAAAGAACCCATTACCTTTGCCTTACAACCCTTTCTGTTCAAAATGCTCCAAAACAAAATTAATAGAAAGATGTTGGAAATTGTTATCAGACGGGACACTTGTGCCAGAAAGTCTGTTTTTAAAGCTGATTGTGCAATGTTACTAATAAACAATGAAAGACTCCCAACAGGACCAGCAGCCCCTTCTGTCATCTTATGGTGATATACACAAGACATTCTGGTGCATACACAAGAGAATAAGAGCAAGGGATCTTTGCCCATTCTTAGGCTAGACATTACCATTTTAGAGGAGAAACAAAAACATCCACTTCAACCAAATGTGATGGTTAATCTTGACTGTCAACTTGATTGGATTGAGAGATCCCTAGGAGGTTAGTAAAGCAAGCCCATCTCTGGGTGTGTCTGTGAGGGCATCTCTATAAATGATTAGACCATGAGGGCTCCAACCTAATTAATGCCTTAATCTACTGATGGATTCAAAATTCGAATAGACTATTGAGAGGTGGTGGGACTGTGGAAGGTGGGGCCCAGTTAGAGGAAGTAGAGCATTGAGGCTATAATTTTGAAGCGTGTGTCTTGCCCTGGCTCCTTCTTGTCATGGCCCTCTGCTTCCTGGTTGCCAAGAGTTGAAGTGCTCTGCTCTACCAAGCCCTTCCAACATGAGGTACAGCCTCACGACAGGCCTAGAAACATGGAACCAGCCTACCTAGACTGAAACATCTGAAACAGTGAGCCAATATAAATCCTTCCTCATTAAAACTTTTTTTCCCAGGTATGTCACAATGATAAAAAAAACTACCATACCAGAAGGCTCTTAAGAAAAGAACTCTGACAATATCCACATCTGAGCCATATTTATCTGAGTTTAATAAAGTCCAGGATAATGTAAGAAACAGAGGACAGTGACTTTTTATGAAATGGGATACTCTGAGAATATGGTCCCCTTAGGCACTAGTGAATCAGGGCTGCTTTTAAGAGGTGAGAAAGGGAAATCATGATATTCAGTTAGTAACCTTTTGTTTATTTTGCAGTAGTGGGATTTGAACTCAGGGCTTAGACCTTGTGCCACTCTACCAGCCCTATTTTGTGATGGATTTTTTTGAGATAGGGTCTCACAAACTATTTGTCCGGGCTGGCTTTGAAACTCAGTCCTTCTGATCTCTGCCTCCTGAGTACCAAGGATTATAGGCTTGAGCCACCTGTGCCCAGCTCAGTTGGTAACCTTTTAAGTGCGAATGATTAAGACAAGAGGCAGCAGTCCACATTTGCCAGGTTTTCCTGGCAACTGACCAACCCTTTCATGAATAGAGTTAGTAAGAGGACACTTACCCCAGGGAAAGCACTCTTGTTGACTGAATAGTTTTTTCCTATGATCTACACTTCTGTAACACTTATGAGTTCCTAAGACATTTGATACTGTGGCAGGAACATTTTCAGACTTCTGAACTTAATATGTTTGCATTACCTGTGAAGAGCTCAAATTACCTGGATTTTGAACTTTTGTTTCATGTCCCATAAGTCAGCAGAGAAGTGTCTCTAGGCAAATGTCTCTTGAAAATATGCTAAAGGAGAATGTGACTAAGTCATTGTGCCTACAACTGAATACTAAATCCCTGCATGCCACACAAGAAATGGGTATTTTGGTGGGGAGAGATTTCTTCTCCTCCAGGCTTTGAGAACACAGGATGGGGACAGCTGATGGTGAAAGGAGAGCAGTGCTAGAGTGGAGGTGGGGAGAATGACCCTGACATGCCTAAGTAGCACAAGAGGTACTGCTAGAAAGCCACTCAGCCTTCAGGGGGACAGCTAGCCATGTCCTTTTGTCAATGGCCTGTGTCATAACAACCAAAACCTCTGATGGAGCAGTTTAATTCGCCATTGCACTGATGTATGATAGTAGAGACATCCTGTAACACAACCTGGCAGACAGCAGGAGGGAGGAGACATGTTCTGGCATTTTTATAACATTGTTTGAAATATGCCATTCATGGGTGAACTTGACAATCTTTTAAATACTCAGGCATTCCTCCATTCTTTTGTTCATTTCATTCATTCAATACTTTTCTAAGTAGTAAACACGAAAGTTAAAAAATAAGGATTATTCTTTTCATCAAGAAGGTACAACAGAGCGGGGGAAGCGATATACTTGGAATGACAAGAACGCAGCTGTGAGGCGTCGTGGCATATTATTTGGCTCCTAGCTGCTGCCATACAGCAGGGGCCACGGTACCCGTTCAGGCAACATTAATCCTCTTTTGCATCTCTGCCCTTCTCTCTCCCAATTTACAAATAGCCTGATTAAATTAATTGAGTCAGATTATCATCTGACCTCTGGAACAGACTATTAATAACTTTTTTCAAAATGTAATTCTATTGTTTGGCTGTATGATAAAAGTAGTACATGATTACAGTATGTATTTGTTTTCTTTTTTTGCTGATTTATATAATTTATTTTCACTATGTGATAAAACCCTGGCCAAATATGGGCAGCTCTGCAATGTGTTTCTGCAGACATATGGTGCTTTATACACGGATCATGCTGGTGTAGAAGCTATTTTCTAAGCAGCAAAAACACCAGAGCTCCAAAATAAATGCATCAAAGTGGCCTCACGCAACTCAGTGAATACAAAGTTCTAAGATACATAAAATATCATTTAAACCACCTTGGAAGTTTCTTAAATATAAATTTTCATACGATCCAACAATTCTACTGTGGGTATGTACTGAAGAGAAATGAAAATGTAGTCCTATAGGTATGAACATCAGTGCTCACAGCAGCAGCAGCCTTAAACACCAGAGTGGAAACAATTCAGCTGTCTATAAACTGGTGAATGTATACACAAAACAAGGCACATATATATATTAATTACTGTTTAGCAACAAAAAACCAATATGTATTATAACGAGCCTCAAAACATGCGAAGTGAAAGAAGGCAGACACAAAAGGACACAAGTGTACAAAAATGTCCAGAAAGGAAATCGGTAGAAAAAGAAAGCAAATTAGTGGTTGCCAGAGGCTAGATTGGGTATAGTAGTGGGAAATAGACATGAGATTAGGTGCAGTTGTGGGTGATGGCTACACAACTCTGTAAATATACTAAAAAGCATTAAAGTCTACATTTAATGTATGCGAATCATATGATACATAAATTCTACATCAGTAAAAATACTTTTTAAAAATTAAAATGTATCATGTAAGATAATTTTATAAATTGAATCTTTTTCTAAAAGCTAAATTCACAATGATTACTAAAATATTTCTTTCCTTTTTTTCCTTTTCATCTTTTCAATCCTGTCACATCTGACAAATTTTAGAATCTTTCCATTTCCTCAATTTGTGGATTTTAAAAACTGACTTTAATATGAATTTCAAGTTTTGACACCCTTCCCCCCGCATGTATAGCTAAGTCATGTGAAGTCTAGCCTAAACCTAGCAGTGAGGCACAATTTGAGTGTGCACTGAGAAATACAGAGGAACCCTAGGCCATCCCAGGGATTCCAGAAAAGGCCCATAAAGAAGCACCTGAGTCTTCTTTTAATAGCTATCGATGTTCTCTGCTTCAGATAAGACAACTGAGAGCAAAGGAAAAGACTGCTTATTCAGGGATGTCCAGTCAGGTTTATCCATGTGGTTTAGCTAAACAAACTGACGAGTTCCAGAGAGTCAGTTTTCACTGCAAGTTTTGCAGAAGGCAGGCACCTCTCTTCTCCAGCAATATCTGACTTTTCCCATGATGCTTTTGTGGAAGAGATAGGCTGTTACATTTTTTCAGATGTAATAAATACTCATCAGTTGTTGGTCCATGGCAAAATTCAACAATCATTTATTATTGTTCAACACAGATTATTTTATTATTTTTCCTGTATCCTCTTAGGACTAAAACACCTGAGCATTAACAGGGAACACATGGGCCAACTAGAGATCAGTCATCCTTGGTGAGGGCTGTGTACATGGTTACTGTTCACCAAGCAGAAATGAGGTGAGCAGCTCTGCTTCTCTCCTCCACTTCCTCCCTTTTCCCTCCCCGTGGCCTGGAATGGAAACCTGGGACAGTACCATGAGTGGAATAATGGGATCTGGGGCACTGAATGACCACACTGAGCAGAGACATCTGGAATATCCCCCTCGCTCTAGATTGATGGATATAAGTAAACTTTCAATTGCTTCATTTCAGCAGCTTTGCCCATATCCATCTCTTAATTAAAATTGTGGGTAAGAACTGAGAAGACCTGTATTCTAGACTACTTCTGCTTCTGAGTATTTTGGTAAATTACTGTACTTTGGTGTTTTGTGTGTGTGTGTGGTACTGGAGATTGAACCCAGGGCCTCATTCATGCCAGGCAAATGTTCTACCGCTTGAACTATGCTCCAGCCCTGTTGCTTTTTATTTTGTTTTGGAGAAAGGGTCTTGCTTACCTTTGCCCAGTCTGGCTTCAAACTTATCATCATCCTGCCTCCACCTGCTGAGTATCTGGGATTATAGGCATGCCCACCATACCCAGCTAAATTACTGTACTTTTTTAGTCTCAGCTTCAGTATCTTAAAATTAGGGAGTTGGATAGAATAGGAATCCTAAATTTTTTTGTGCCACAAACCTCTGGAACAAATTGGTAAAGCCTAACAGTCCCTTCTGAGAATAATGCCTTTAAACTTATAAGATAAAAATACAAGACAGTACAGCTTTAATTTGTGGAGATCCTACTTAGAACACCTGGATGGGCTCTAAAGTTTCATCTTGACCAAAATGCCTATGAGTTTATGACTCATTTACTATATGAGAGATAAAAATTAGTCAGTCTACCTGTACTGCTAATATTTTTAATTTTTTGTATATTATGATATTTTTATGTCTCAAACCCTTTCTGGCTGGGGAAGAGACTGCAGCAAGGGCCTAGCAAGAGTAGACCTTTGATATACAAACTAACTGTCCCAGAGCCCTGCCTCCTCTAACAGGCCCTTACAACTCAGGAAGTAACTCCTCTGCCTTAATCTTCCACAGGCCAGATACCCACCTCCCCCATAGTTCAGAGCCCTCCAAAAAATTATTTAAGCTAACCAACCCTGAACTCCTTACCGTGCTCTATCTTGCCTTTCTTACATAAGCGCTAATAAAGGCTGTGGTCCAAGCTGCCCCCTTGGTTCTGTCTCCTGACCAATGGCGGTGTTTCCCCCATGTGGCCCCTCTGAGCCCCCTGGTTCTAGGAACTGTGAATGTAATAAACTTTGTTTTTCTGACTCTCTCCTGTGTCTCTCCTTCTGGCTGCACATGACTGACTATCAATAAAAGAACACATGCTACACCCTGGCTGGCTGAAAGTGTGACAGTCTTCCAAAGGCTGGTATTCTATGGAGAAATGGCATGCTACATGTAAAGACCCAATCCATTCGAGACACTGCTGGAAAAAGAAAGCTTCCTAAAATCGGTAACTATAGTTTGTCTCAAAAATTAAGTTGCATTACTTTGCTTCCTAGTTCATCAAGACGAAAGCCGTAAGGAAGTAAAGAAGAGGTAGATAAAAGCCTGAGTTTGTTCCCTGAAATACATATTAAAGAGTAAGTCCCAAAACAACTTTTCTTTTGTGGCAGCTTCCATAAACTGGGATGGCTTTCCATAGTATTAGAATTTAGCATCTGTACTAATGGCTCATTGAAGATAAGGTGAGTCCTCATATTAGTCACGGGAACAAGTCCAGGAACCAATTACTTTTGGTTTGGTACCTTCAGAAATCACCTTTTATAAGAGGTCTAATTTTGCTGGAATTAATATTCCTAGTCCAATTAACCTGGAAGAATTTTCAAATGGCTCTTCATTATTATGAATGTGATTGGATAGATGGACTTGGCCTTGGTGCTTTAAACAAGGTTGGGTGCTCTGTATTTTTCTGGGTCTTACCTCGAACAAAGACGTAAGCGCTATATTGTTCGTAATATTCTCCCATTCGTACACGGATTGTATAGAGGCCTTCATCTTCTTTGTTGAGATGGGAAAATGTCAGTGTTGCCCGATCTCCACTCCAATGTGGCTGCACCCATTTTGATGGAGAAACAGGTGCCCCTAGAAACAAAAAAAAGTAAGCAAATTTAATTGATTTTCCTCTCTATTACTCCTTTCTTCTTCCCTTCCCTCTAGTCTTCTCCCTCTCTGTTTTTTCCTCCTTTTCTATTTTTATTTTTTTTAGTATTACAAGGTGTGAGCCACCAGCGCCCAGCCTTCTGAGTCTTTTTTTTTTCTTTTATTATTCATATGTGCATACAAAGCTTTTTCCTCCTTTTCTAAATGGAAAGTTAGAGGAAGTCTCTAGAGCTTTAAGCCATTCTATCATGTTTATATTAGCAAAAAAATATTGCTATTTTTACAAAAGTGAGTGGCCCCAGGCCCAGTGCAAAATTAAATTAATTGCACAGCCCTTTGCTCAAAAAGCAGAGGAAAAAGACAATAAGTTGTAAGTCTTTTAATTTTAAAATATTTTATTATAAGACATAGTAGGGTCATATGAATTGCAAAAATATAATATTTTGGTGCATATAATTTTATGTGTAATAAATAATACTAAGCTGATATCCTGATTAAAAAGTGAGTTCTGGTTCACTTTCCAGCAAATTTATTTATTAGGTCATCAAAACTTACACTTTGAGCAGCTTCATTTTAAATCAATGTACTCAAAGGCAATCGAGGTTAGTCACTTTGCAAATGCAAGCTCACAGATGAATTTTGATAACTTTTTATTTAGAGAAGACTCTTCTACTATAACTGTTACTGAGGTTGTTAAGAGTGTTACACAACCTGTGACTACATTGGGTTAACTTCCTAATAAATTATTTAAAATATAAATTTTAGTACTCTCAAACTGATGAAACTTGAGGGATGGTTTTTTTAAAAAGATTTAAGGGTGTGCAAACCATTGTCATGTAAGTCTGAATTTAATTTTAAATATGAGTTTACATGAGTACAGTCAAGTACTTCCTCTGGTATGTCCTCTAATTTTTTTTCTTTTTGGCAGTACTGGTGGTTTGAACCCAGGGTTTCACACTTGCCAGGCAGGTACTCTATGGCTTGAGCCACATCTCAAGTCTATTTTTGCTCTGGTTATTCTTGGAGATAGGGTGTTAGTTTTTCCCCCCAGGCCAGCCTGTACCACAGTCCTCTTATTTTAATGCTTCCTGCCATTGCTGGGGTGACAGGCGCATGGCATCATACACAGCTCCTCCCAACACCATTGAGATGGGGTCTTGCAAACTTTTTTTTGTCTGGGCTGGCCTGGAAATGCAATTCTCCTCATTTCAGCCTTCCAAAGTAGTTTGGAATGACAGATGTGCACCACTACACCCAGCTATTGGTTGAGATGGGATCTTGCTAACTTTTTGCCTGGGCTAGCCTCAAACAGTGATCCTCCTATCTCAGCCTCCCACATAGCTAGGATTACAGGTGTGAACCACTGGTGCCTGGCTTATGTCCTCTAAATTTTAGAGGTCAAACTAGAAACCAAGAATGATTTGTGATTTGTATATAATTCAAAATGTCTGCTTATGTATCTTATCACTGTATTTTCAATTATAATGAAAAATTAATTTTATAACTGTCCTTGTTAATAACTGGTTCACCTGAAGTTTCATATGAAAATCATGTTTCTTTTATCAAATCCCACAATCTTTAAATTTAATTTTTATTTCTAAGCCTCAAAATCAGAGATTCTAAACTCTTAAAGAAGCTTACCTGCCTTATGTGTTTCCTTTGCATGCTTATATGTATGCTTTTATTTGTATTATATTACTGACAAAGTTTACTGACTGCCAGTGGTTCCTGTTTCTGTGCCAGGGAGTTATTCTTTGTGCAGATCACTCAGGGATGAGCTGCCCTCCCATTGTGGGTCCCTATGCTGTTTCCCCACACTTTCTTCTGGGGCCACAGCTATAGTCCCCACTTCAATGCTGGTGCTGTTGGTGCCACTGCCATTGATAATTCCAATATGGACCAGGTTCTGATCCCCCATCATCTTGGAACCCCAGATACCCCAGACTGTCCATGTGCTCATGTGCACACCTGAGGGCCAGGGCTGCTGTTTTGTGAGTTTATTGACTACTGCCCACCATGCTGGAGGCCTGAGCCTGTGTAAGCCCACACTGCTGCTTGCCTGTCTTCTCTACTTATATGCATGATCCATAGTCCCATTCAACTTCACATATAAAACACAAGTTCAAGGATAAAATGATTATGGATTTTAAGACAGTAACAGCAGAGCATTAAACCAAACTCACGTCTCCTTCCAGAGTGGTCCTATGTGGTGGCACAAATGTCAGCCCTGGAACGGACCTCTATTTCAGTCTTATCTCTTTCATTGGCTAATCACACAATTTTGAGCAAATCATTTAACCTCTCTGGGCCTTAGTTTCTTTTCATGAACAAAACAGAGTTTGAACCATCATAAAATTCCTTACAGGAAATACCACAAAGCATTCTCATTTGCTATTTTTTCTTTTACTTTCCTATATATTTTCAAAGTTAATTTTATAAAACAGTTAGAAACATTACTTAACATTACTAATACACAGAGAAGCTAGATGTGCCTGGAATTTTGAAGTTTTAAAACTGAAATAAACCTGGTGAAGACTTTAAGATAATAGGGCACTGAGAGTCTCCAGGTGTATTTGTTTCTTTGACCACAGCACATCCTCTGTCAGCTAGAACAGAGTGTAAGACATGCAGATAGGTAAATATCTAGGAAGGAGCTGGAGTCCTGCAATTTCAATGCTTTTTTATACTGTATAGGATAAGATAAGTCAGAGAAAGTACAAATTTTCCCAACAGTTTTTGGTTTTTTGTTTTTTTGGTATTAAATTTCACGTTTCAGCAATGTAAGAAGAGGCTTAGAGCTTGGGGTTCATAATAAAAAACTACCAGGTCTGGAGGTGTCCTGGGCCAAATTTGGCTGTGAGATTTAGAGCAATCCCTTATTCTCTTCCCACAGTTTTCATTAGTAGGAAGGATAATTTAGTAAATATATTTGGAGCTAAGATTTGTGATACTGTGTTAGAAATAACATTATTTTATAAGTCCAGAGCTTCAACTAATCAACTTTTTTATAGCTTTTTATTTCCTTTCATTTCATTTGGTCTAAAGCATTACTTAGGCTTTAAATAGACTTCAAATCAAGCAGAATTTAAAGAGGGAAAAAAATCCCTATTTCTTTCTCACACCAAAGTGCCATGGCTCTAGCCCCTTTTGAAGTAAAGTCTAAATTGTAACTCAAAGCCAGAGTAAGAGGAACTGATAGTGGAATGATTTTCTCTTTTATCAGCCTTGGTTATAATCTCACAAAAAGCAAAAGGGTAATTTTTATCTACTTTGTGTCATTAAGGGACATCATACATATCCTGTATGTAAAATATACTCAGAATAAATTTCAAAATTATAAAAGAGCTGTTAACACATTAAAACAAGTCTGAATTTCCCCTTAATTTGTTTTGTTAGTTAATTAATAATACTAAGATTTATTACTTCTTAAGGTTTTTGGTTTTTAAAGTTTCACATAATTTCTATGGCATAAATAATAGGTCTATTAGGAAAAGTATTTACCAAATAAAATTGCAAAGTGATGTACATTTTTTTGGTAATTCCACATATTACTTGGGATAACAAAACATCATCTCCATAAATGTATTTTAAAAGTATTGTTCTTTTGATGTATATGTCAAAACTTTAAAAATGTACAGCGGGGGTAGAGTGAAGTCTCAAAAAAAAAAAAACCAAAACAAACCAAAAACACAGCAGTTATCCTTTCTAACTTACAGATTATGGCAGCAATGGAAAACAGATCTTCAATCGGCCCACAACTTTGTGCAAGTAAGAACTAAAATGAGAATTCATTCTAAAGACTCACCATTTCTGTACCACTGGACCTCTGGCTGGAAATGTTTAATTTCAGGAGTGATGACAACACGGCAGCCCAGACTCATCGTCTCTCCCTCCCTCCCAAAAGAGACATCAAATTTGTCATCAAAGTGGATCTCAAACTTGGACGCATAACCATAAGGGGTCACAGCAACTGGGTACAGAAAAACAAGTATCAGCAATTTATTTTTTTTCCTGTCAAAGAGATACAATCATTTTAATAAGCACAGGCAGAAAACAGCTGTGACAATGACTTATCAAATGATTTATCTGGACAAAAATTAAGTTCTATATAAGAAGTATACAGAACATATACATATCTCATTTGTATAGAAGTTCTTGCTTCATTGATCATCTAAGCTAAATGTCTATATTATTATTGTAGTGAACAGAATTTAAAGGGCCAGGTTTAGTGTTTTAAATGTGAATTAATACCCCAGTTAGTATACAGTTGGCTGCTTTTTAATTTTAGATTTTGAGTTAAACAACTGTTGCACTCTTGGGATAAAGTGGCTATATCAATTACTCATCAAAATAGAGTTTTTCAGTAAATTGCTTCATTTTTTTTCTTTCTCTCTCTCATTTTTTTTTTTTTTGGCAGTACTATGGTTTAAACTCAGGGCTTTGTGCTTTCCTAGCACTTAAGTCAGACCCACAGCCCTTTTTTATGATTTGAATAAAAAGAATGATAAGAAATGTCAATAGGAGAAACCAGAGAAATTTAAGATATTTTAACTTAAAAAAAGGTTATCCTCAGAAACATCTTATTTATAGATTAAATACCTACATCATCAACTCTCCCAGATTGTATTTTCTTGTTTTTCAAAGGAAAAGGGTTAGGAAGAAAATGACTATTTATCAATGGGCTATTGCCAGGTACTTCACATGTGACATGTCATGCCATCTGTTCCTTGCAACAACTCCATCGCATAGACATTAGTTTTTCTCCTTTCAGATGTGAACTTCAGGATATAGAAGTTCACATGGTAATATACAGCCGATGCCAAGACTACACAGGCAGCAAGAGTGAAATTGAAATTTAAGCCCGTAACTGTTCAACTGTAAAACTTGGGCCCTTTCCCTTTATATTTCATGTCTTTTCCTATGGCCTTGTAATATTGTCTTGAAAATGCAAGCTAGCATTTATTGAGTTCAGTTGTTCTAAATTTTTAATAGCTATCAATTCAGTTAAGCCCATATATAACAATCCTATCAGTTAAGTGCCATTATCACCTCTATTTTATAGAGGAAACTGTTTTTGGGGTGCTGAATGGCTGTCCACATTAGCCCACAGAGCTAGATTTACACTTGCAAGCTGTTTCCAGAACCTTTGCTCTCAGTCAACACACTGTACTCCCTTGAACTTGTGTGTTCCCAGGCAAATACAAACCAACATGAAAATAACTTCTCTTTAAAGCACATCTCCCATCTGTCTCATTTCTATATGATGATGTTCCACTGAGACCTAAGAGAGATTTAACTTGATCGGATCTCACACAGCTGCTAGGCTGTTCCAAAACTTCCTTAGGAAATAAAGGAGGGTTATAAAGGAGGCTCTGTGGTGGCCCACAATCTCCCAACCCAGTTGGAGGTGCAAGCAGAGCTCCTCTTCTAGGTTCTCCCCATAGTGAGATTGGGTTGGATTGTCCTGGGGTTTAGTAGGAAGAAAGCTTTAACTATCAAAAGGTACAACATAATTCTTGTCACTTCCTCGCCCCTTTATCATGTGTACTTTTCACCATGGGAAAAATGGCTTAGGGCAATGTTCGAGAAATCTGTGGGCCAAATCGGGATAGCCTCCTTATTAGTACCACGAAGAATGGATTTTCAATTTTTTAATGGTTGAAAAAAATCTTAAGCAAAAGAATAGTTGTGACATGGGAGAAGTCACAGGGAATACAAATTTCAGTGTTCATAACTGAGGTTTTATTGGAACACAGCCATGCTCGTTCATTTGCTGACTATTCATGGCTGTTTTTGTGTTTCGGAACAGAGCTGAGTAGTTGCAACAGAGACCATTTGGCCCACAAAGCCTAAAATATTGAAAATCTAGTCCTTTATAGAAACTATTTGCTGACCTCTGGTTTAAAATATGGCTTAGAATGACAAAGACCAGGTTATAAATCCCTATTCTACCACTGTGTGTAGTCCTGTCCCAGTATTTAAACTCCCTAAACTGTTTCCTCCTCTGCACAAGACAAGTAAAAATATACTTATTTTGGAAGCTTTTGGGGAACTTTAAATGGATTAGTGCATATAAAAATACCTTAGAACAACCAATCAATAAATGTTAACCATTAGAACAAAAACAGCATATTCCAAGCACCTAACCTGGTATCTAGTACATAATAGGTACTCAATAAATATCAGTTGAATGTAGGAATACAGCCCTCTGTTTTCTGTTAGGAACAGCTGCAGTTAAGTCAGGGGGCAGTCAGAAGAGTCATTAGTAAGAGAAGTAGGGGTAAGCTGAGGTTTCAGAACCTGACTTGACAAAGAAAGGAAACAAAGATACACAGACAATGGTAAGGCCATGGGAATGGGCAGGATACATTCAGAGGACTGTGAAATGACCAACCAGACCTATCTTATGGATACTGAGGGGTTCAGAATCTCCAACTATTCTACATCAATATCAATCAAGTGATGGGAAAAGGACATGATTTGGGATATGCTCCTCCCTCACTTCTGCCCAGCCTCTTGATTAGAGGGATATTCTCCCTCCTATAGGATTGATGGCAATGTTTATAACTTGGAATGTTAAAGTTGGGAGGCACTCCATGAAGTCTAGGACTGGGTCATCTACGGACACCAAACTAACCAGTTAATCAAAGGCTGACATGAGAAAGTATCTTCAACCATTTTCAAAACCACCATGCATTATCTGATTTGTAGAAAATAAGTTTGGGCTTGACTACTTTTTTCATTCAGACCACTGTAAGCATATAATTATTTCATTGACCACAAAGATTTTGTGACATAGATAAAAAGATTGAAGCTCATAAATTTGCAAATTACCACTGACCAGAATATCTAAAATAATTTATAATTTAACCACATTTTAACTTCATTTTAAACTGCAGTTTATAAATTAATGCATTAGTTAATTCATTCATTGTCAAATATCCATTCATTATCAAATATGCACTCTTTGTGAGGCACTGGGGTTCACAATAAAAGATTCAGCCTTGCTTTCAAGTGATTCATGGACACATAACAGTTAACATTATCCCATATCACAGGCACTCAGATGAGGTTCCATGGCCTTATCAGGGACACCTAGCCCTGAATGGATGGAGCTCAGGGGTTTTAAAGAGGTGAGGTTGACCTAGGTATTTAAGGATGAGTCTGAGTGCTTTGATACAGTGTAAACTCTGTGTGTGTGTGTGTGTGTGTGGTTATATTTCACTGTGCCCAGGATTATATAATGATTTTCTCAGTTTAACACAGAAAGACTTAAAAGCATTTGCCATTTTTAGTCCATCATAATGGGTCTTTCAAAAAACCAGAACAAAGCAATCAGACACAGAAAGAGAATACAAACCACAAAATCTAAAAACACCAAGAAATTAACCTCAGACACCTTGTATACAGTTTATCCATCCTGGTATATGCTATATCATATATAATAGTATTTATTTCAGCATTATGGAATAGCTTATCATGCTGTGTTCTACATAAAGATGTCTTTTAGCAAATACATTATTAAACTTACAGCTGAGGGGCATAGTGGAAGCCCCAGTATGGAAGTGAGTCTCATCAAATTCTCCCTTATATCCTAGCGAAGAAAAGAGAAACACGGGTGAACTGCTCCATGGTTGATTGATTGACTTTTAGCAATGGGAAGAAATTTTTAAAAATACATTTGAATAAAACAAATGTAGAAAACCTACTCTTTACCACAACTGAAGCATATGCTGAAAGCTCTCCTTTAACATTCATTGCAGAGGCCCGGTACTGAGCTGTATCTTCAAAATCACATCTGAAAGAACACATGGGAATGAATGACCATCAGAACCTTTGCAATCACTCTATCAGGGAGTTGCTAACACAGCACATCACAACTCAGTAGTTAACACGTGGCTCTTTGGGACTCTTGAAACTACTGTCTCAGACCTAGTACTGACGAGATGTTTTATATATTCCAAGTGATCTACAGCAGTTTCACTCCAGAGGAGAATACCTATCATTCACTGTGACCCTGGGCAGGGTTCATTTAAAATGTAAGGAAAAAAAAGTCAACAAAGTGCTAAGTGTATAAATTACAAAGTGAATAATACTATGATAAACTTGTCTGAAGTTGTATTGGGAGGAGAAACTGTCCAGCTGCCCTGAGCCATGGTCTGAGCCAGGTTAGCCTGACAAGTGGTTCTGTGTTGTAGTTTCCAAACACAAGTAAGTTATTTGTACTTTAATTCTACTAACATTCAGAGTACAGTTGGCGTTTCAGTCCACAGCATAACAACAAGTGCCATTTGGATATTTCCTCTAGGTTACAATATAAAAATTGGAATGTCATATAAAAGTGAAATTAGAGGGAGAATGATCTCACAGAGAAAGGAACAGACTAAGCTTTCAAAGTGGGCTGTTTTATGTCTAATCACATCAGTCCTGTGTTCTGCTTTGTTTCTCAGGATTTTGTTTCATTTGTTATAAAATTATTTCTTGCTGGAATTTTACAGACATCAATAAAATCCCAGGAAGGGAAATACTATTGCCTTTCCCATAGTTATTCAATTGTGAAAGCAACCACAGGAATTATTGCTGATTCAATAGAGAACTCACTGGAAAAATGACAGTTTTAGAACAGGGTCACAGGGCTCCAGGGTTCTGTTTAAACCCCAGTATCACTTGGGTCAACTCCTCTGATCTGGGGAGAAGGCTATAAATCTCTTGAGAATGGAATGATGTCAGTTTCCTTTTGACATTTCAGCTAGCACAGCCAGGGTTCTACCCGAACTGAAGATGGTGTGAGCTTGTTTAGTATTTTCATCCACATAACTAGGTTTGAATTTCAGAACATCTTAGGAGATGTAATAAGCCTTTGAGGACTTGGAAATTTTGATATGGGTTCCATTTTCAAATTTGGCTTTTGATTTGCTTTACTCTGAACCATCCCAGTATCCATCCCCACCTAGTATAGAATGGCAAGACACTTAGTCTTCCACAATCCTGGTGAGCCGAGGGAGAGAACACTGATCCTTGTCCAGCCCAATCTCAGCCTCCCACCCCCAACCTGCAGTTTCCATGGACTTGTTGATTAAAAGCAAATGAATATGATGATGTTAATTTGGAATTCTGAAAGGATAACTAGACAAAAATACCTATTTATGCAACTTATTTTCTTATTAATTTCTAAGTAAAACCCAAATACCTAGAAGGATAAATTTTAAAAAATCAAGTTAATTTTTTTCTCTTCATCTTTGACTAAATATTAAGAGCACTTTGGAGGCAGTGCGGGCATAGTAAGGATTATTTATGCACATCACCTTGTAGGTGTGTCCCAGGAGAAGAAATACATATGAATGTCCCTGTTGTGATTAGGCTATGGGGGTGGCAAGTGGCTGTGAACTGCAGTGGGGTGTTGTTTCCCTGAGTGACTGTTGGGCAACACACACAAACACTGATATTCTCTTACTCGTTAATCTCCAAGGTATGCATTCCATATCGACTTTCAATAATATACTTTCCAGGGTTTGCATGGACATTTATTGGCACCTGGTTTTTATACCTATAAGACAATGGAAGCAAAATGAAGTAGACTGAAGCGTAAATAACTTCATGATTAAACACACACCACTACAATTTTTGTTCTTGCAGGTATACCTTCTGTAAATGGGACTTTGGAGAGTCATAACATCTATCCAATAAATGCAAAATTACATTATCGTGAATGAAATACACTAGGAAAATAGTAAAACTTCTTGCTAAAGTGCTTTCCCTTTTTGCATAAATTTTGCATTAAAAATGTGAATCATTCACAATATGGATGTATGTCATATACATAATGTTAATGAAAAAATCCACTTACGAAAAAGTACACAGTGTAATGATTGCTTTTATATAGCATACAAAAACAAAAAGACTAATTAATGCTGCTGGAAGTTAGGACAGTGATTTCCAGGGGTAGGGTAGGGGGCATAAAGGAGGCTTCTTGGGTGCTCATAATGTTTGGTTTCTTGCTTTGAGTGTTGGTTACATATGTGTGTTCAGCTATGGAAACTGACCACAACTCTGTAATATGCACTTTTGTGTGTATGTGTATTATACTTCAACAAAAAAGCTTTAAAAAGTTGACTATTGGCATAACAGAAAGGAAGGCTTTGTGCTGGGATTTTACTGTTGGCTGGCTATGTAGGTTGAAAGCAATACAGTCCTGCTAACATTCTTGTATGTCATTGTTAAGAACAATGTAGCTGTACTGAAAGATCACTGTATTCAAGTGATTTATTCTATGTCATAAACAAACATTGCTTTTGCCTCGGAAGTATTTATAAAGCATGAAAGGAAACCTCTGATAAGTAAAAGCTGACAGCTCCAACTGTGATTAAGCTTCTCAGTCCTCATGGGTGTAGGCTAAACAGAGGGGCCTCTCTCTGAGATGAGGATTTCAGGACCTGTAAGTGGTGCTTGCATTCTTCCCCAGTCTTGATATCCTCAATAGCTGGTGGCTATAGTGCCAGACCAGGCGTATCTACTTAAACCATTTTCAGTCCAAAAAAGGAGCTGGTTTTCCCTTACTTCCTTTTCAGAAACCCTACTTCATGAGCACAGATAACACAACACTAATGCCCACAAGTGGCAGAGTTTTCACTTCGTGTATATATGGTATCAGTAAGTTAACTCCTCATAAACACATGAGATTTCACTTTCTTTAGCATCATTTCCAGATGAAGAGACCAAGACATGGAGAGATTAAGGAACCTGCCTTGCTCACACAGCAAGGAATAGTTGAGCTTGGATTTGAACCTGGGCAGTCTTGCTCTGTGACATTTCCATTTTCCAATTTTTCTCTATGTAGCTGCATTTCATTTTTCCAGATTTTTTGGAAATGAGTATAAGGAGATTTGGAAGCAGGAAGAGTAGTGGAAAGGGAGAGAAAGAATATCAGTTTTAGTCAATTCTTTCCTTTCCCTAAATTGCTCCTCTCCCTCTTATCTCTGTCCCTCTCTGTCACTATATGTTTCTCAGACACACAGACACAGACACACACATACATTCTATGTTTCTCCATTGTGGTTTGTCCTCCAAGGATTCATGTGGTGGTATTATGAGGTGGTAGAACCTTTAAGAGGTAGAGCTTAGTGCAAGTGATTGGGGTCATGGCAACATCACTCTCAGCAGGGATTAAATAGTTCTTGTGGAATCCTATTTAGTGAGAGTGAGTTCTTGGCTTAGAGGCATGGCTCAAGTGGTAGAGTGCCTACCTAGCAAGCATAAGCCCCTGAGTTCAAACCTTAGTAAGAGAGAGATGGACTCCTTGCTGCTCTTTGGATTCCTATGTCACCATGAGCTTTTTCCTTCCTGTGCACATTCCCACCGAGCCATGATATGGCACAGCTAAAGGGAACCATCACCAGAGCTGGCAGCGAGCTGTTTGGACTTTCAGTCTCTTTACAAATTGCCTAGCCAAATTTTTTGTTTTGATAGAGCAACAGAAAATATAGCAACTAAAGCACATTGTTCATCTTCTTAATGTATCATTCTCCTTCTCTTCCTAGCAAAATCAAATGACACTTCTTCAGTAGACTCCTCCTTAAAAATCCCACAAAATATGAATCAGAGGTTCCCATGTCTGAATCAGAGCTACTTAATTTCAATTGCTAAATACGTTTATTAAAATTATGATTGGATCTGTGTTTCTTCTACTATGCTGCCAGTCCCTCAAAGGGTGACTGTGTCTGATCCATATTTACTTCTTTTTCTACTTCTGAGGAAGGATGAATCATGGGCAAATATTATACGAACTAAGTGTTGGTTAAATTGGGTTGGACAGAATTATTGAGTAATGCAATAGATAAATTGTAATGCCATAATTTTTTTCACCCAAGGAATAGAGCTCTGATGAACATATGTTTCATGATATAGATGATTTTCTTTATTTGTTTTATTTTTTATATATGAAGAAAGCATTCACTTAAAATGAAGTTAAGACTCTGAGTCTTGCTTCCTTCAGATCCGAAATGACGAGGGTTGGTCTAGCTCAAAAATCACAGCTGCATGGCAGATGTAGCTGTATAACTTTTTCCCCACCCACAGAAGACATTGTTAGTTGACGCTATAATGTTTCCTGCCAGCCCAGAAGTGGTCTCAGACAGCTTGTCTTAACACAGACACTAAGCAGACAGCAGTATTTGATCAGAGACGACGACTGGCTACTCCTAATCTTGAACTGTCCCCATTTTGATGGATGGCAGAGCAGAACACGTTAATTGGCATGCTATCTAACTGAACTGGTTTAGGGTATTTCATACTCCTCTCTCACTTCTTTTTTTTTTTTTTAATTGCTGGAGGGTTTTCAATAGTTTCCCTTACCACAAGGGGAGTAATGTGACACTAAATGTTGTGGCATGTTTTGCTTGACCAAACATCTGAGTGACACTCCAGTTGGCTTCTAGTCAACTATGTTGTTCACATCTCTATAAAGTTTGAGTTAAAAGGATACTTTGCAGCTCCCACGGTTATTTTACCCTCCTTGTCTTCCAGTACTACCAGACTTAGCAACTTAATGCCTTTCCCTAGCTAAATGCTCTGAGTCTTCTAATGTGACCACCTGGCAAAGGAAACTGGTTTAAAATACGCACACAAACACAACCTTTTGACTGTGGAACTCTAAATGTCAGTGAAAGAAACTCTTGTTTAAAGCAGTGGAAAAGGATTAAGTAAGAAAGCAATTTCAGTCTATCCTCCCAGGAATTTCACTTATGAGGCATTCGTCTGGGGTCATTGGAGATTGTGTGCCTTCAGTATTAAGTCAGAGAAGAAAAGAAGGATTTTTGGCCTGCTCTGTACACACTTCACAGCTTGTTGTTTCTGGAAAGTGCAATTCTAAACTAGACAGTCATTAGCTAATTTTGGAGTGTCACATACACCCTGGGATTATTTGTAGAATGATTTCTTAAATCCTGTGAATATTCAGATGGACAACATTTCCTTTACCATTTTCATGTAGTTTATGAATGATTAATTAATGAGCTTTGGGTATACTGTAAGTATTTTTGAACACTGTGCCACTCTGTGACTTTTTTTCCATTCATGTGTGTAAAACACACATTTAGGTCTCCCATACAAATGTCACCTTACATGTTGGGCTGACTTTAATAATGAGGAGTTATAGTGAAAGCTCTATGGTAATATGAAATATGGTCAAGCAAAAAGGCTTCATGATATTTTCAAATAATGTATGCCCAAATGGTCTTTAATATGCTGAATCTTACCAGAAATGGGACTGCCACCTAGAATCCAACCTTAAATCTTAAATAAATAGCTATTACTTACTTTTAAAACCAATTAGGTAAGATACAGTGAGACTATCCAATTAAGATAGATTTTAGAATTAAATAAACAAGAAAAACCTAAATATAACTAAGCCCTTATGTTAGAAAATGATAATAATTTTGTTAACTATTTTAAGTATAAGCTGTTTTCCTGTGATAATAATGATAGTAACTCTTAAATTTAAATATATGATAAATAACTCTAATTTTGTGAATGAATCCAATGCACATGATTCTATGACAGGATTTATAAATTTTCATAAATAATTTGCAAAAATAGAAGCTATCTCCAGACTCTTTCTAAGTTGTATTTTTCATACTATTTTATAACCAAGTTTTGAAATATTTATAAGGCTTAAAAACAAATGTCTTTGAATATTTATTGGACAATGAATTTTGAGTCAAAGTAGAGAATTCCAAACGTATTTTAA